CATCGTAAGATCCTTTGGTGATAGTACGCGTGAGTGGCTACAACCTACAAGCGTTTCTAGTTAATTCGAACCCAATTTGATCTAGTAACATTCCAGGCTATAAAAGGGTCAGCCCACGATGCATTCATTACTTTCAAACACCCTCATATTTCTTAGCTACGACTACGATGTCAGCGCCTACCAGCTTACAGGCTCTTTTCCAGCCTCTACAACTTGGACCTCTTACCCTTAAGAATAGGGTGTTCATGTCTGCCATGACGCGCAACCGCTCCGTCCCCACCAATGTCCCCAACGAGATCAATGTCGAATACTACAGGCAACGCGCGGAGGGCGGTGCTGGGCTTATCGTCGCTGAAGGTATTCTTATCAGCCAGCAAGGGTACGTGCATTTATAAGTGGTGGAGATATTTGCATTAATCCTGTCGCATCAGATCGGAGTGGCAGAACGCCCCTGGCATATGGTCGAAAGAACAAGTTCAGCAGTGGACAAAAATAACGGATGCTGTACATGCTGAGGGATCTCTGATATTTGCGCAGGTACATAAACTCTTTTCATATTGGCATACGTCTCTTGACTGGACTTCTTCTAGCTTTGGCATCGTTAGTCTTTTTCGGTGCATACTTGACATAGTCGTATTGATTTGTTAATGTAGTTGGACGCGTTAGCCATCCAGACGCCCCAGAACAGATTGCATCTGGAGAGGTACGTCGGTTGTATGTATACATGCTACGCATCTTATAATGCTGACTGTTTGTTATAGCCCGTTTATGCCCCCTCTGCCATATCCGCCCGAGGTGGGAAGTTCAGATTCCTTCCCGGACAGCCTGGTTATGTTACTCCGACCGTCATCGATGATCCGCGCAAGCTTCTACCGGCGTGGAAGCAGGCAGCCATCAATGCAAAAGAAGCCGGTTTTGATGGTGTAGAAATACACGGGGCCAGTGGATATATCATCCACCAGTTCCTTGATAATACTTCCAATCATCGTACCGATGAATGGGGCGGCAGCATCGAAAATCGCTCCCGGTTCGGTCTTGAAATCGTCAGGATCCTCATTGATGTCTGGGGTGCAGATCGTGTGGCTATTAAACTCACTCCTGCTGGTGGATACAATGATCAAGGGTACGTGATTGGCATGAAGTCTTCTCCAGCATGGTATTCTCACTCAAACATTACAGAATGCCGCTGAAGGAAACCATTGACACCTTCACTTACTTTATCAATGAACTCGACAAGCTGAAAATCGCTTATGTTACCTTGGTACGGTGGACAGAGTACCTTGATGCTGTCATCGACGGCAGCCCCCGTGCTACTAAACACGACATCGTCGCCACATATGCGCCTCTCTTGAAAAACGTGAAGGCATTCGCGAATGCCGGTTTCACGGGTGAGGAGGCTGCTCGTTATATCGAGCAAGGCAAGATCGACGGCGTGTTCTTCGGCCTTCCGTGGATTGCATACCCAGATTATGCCAAGCGGTTACAGTATGGAAAGCCATTGGATGGAAAATTGGATATCACTACACTGTATGGCCATGGGAGAGATATGGAAACAGAAAAGAAGGGTTACATAGACTATCCACCGGCGGAGTATTAGCCGAATCATCAAGGAGGTCTCGGATTTCATGTATTTACTCACTGTACTTTATATTTGTTATCTGTACAATCGCAGAAATGCGTGTATATATTCCAGGGCTAATAGAGATAATTAAGGATAGGTTTTCTTTCGGTTTTCACGTTGCGACGTCGGGCCGTCCTCGGGTGATTTATTTGATGATTTATTTATCTATCCTTCCATAACAAGTAAAAGCATTCACTCGAGTCATTATTTCGCATCTTGACTTGATACCTTTACCTACGCGTATTATCGCGTTATACAGACCCCCATGGCTCCCATACATATCGACGAATCCACAGGTTCTGATACCACAGGGAAGGGCACTCCAGATCAGCCTTATCAGTCGCTGGCTTTTGCTCTTTTCACGCACGGCTCGTCAGACGGGTTTCTGACTCGAAAAGACTCATCTGGGACATACGAGGAACCTACTCAGTCCTCTCTGAAGAAGGCCAAAAAGACCGCTGATGGTCTAGAGAAGAAGCGCAAAAAACAGGAGGAACTTGCGGAGCAAAAAGCAAAGGCGCAGGGTGATGAGCAGGAGAAGAGGGAGAAGTTGCTCGAGGAGAGCAGGAAGATTGTTCTGACGGAGGATGCATCTTTGCCTTCAGCTAAGAAGGTAGGCTGCTTATGGTCTATTCTTCGTTTACGTCTCATTCGACTCGTGTGATCAGGCAAAGATATCCCAACTATCTGATCTACGTTCTCAACGCGTCCGTGTATTTGGATGGGTTCACCGATTGCGATCCCAAAAGGGCATCATATTCGTGGTCCTCAGAGATGGAACTGGATATCTACAGACAGTTTTTTCGGGTGTGGTCGTATGTGCATTTCTGGCTGTCGTGCATGAAATTTTATTGATTATATTGCAGAGTCAAACATACGATGCCTTGACTCTGACGCTTGAGTCATCAATTGAGCTTGTCGGTACCTTGCAAGTCGTCCCAGAGGGAAAGACAGCACCGGGCGGACATGAACTCATCGTTGACTACTGGAAGGTCGTGGGAGCTGCCCCCGGAGCTGATGATGCGTTCACCAACCGCTTAAACGAGGTATATTTAATTCTTCATTTGTTCCTATCAGCTCTAATTTTGCTATCAGAAATCCGACCCGTCTATTCAAGCTGATCTCCGACATTTGGTCATTAGAGGAGAGACCGCCTCATCTGTCCTTCGGCTCCGCGCGTATTTACTTAGCGCATTCCGCGACACTCTGGTCAACCATCATCTACTCGAAGTAACCCCGCCATGTCTTGTACAGACGCAAGTCGAGGGCGGTGCCACTCTTTTCAGTCTAAACTACTATGGCCAACCGGCCTACCTCACACAAAGTTCTCAATTGTACCTTGAGACATGCCTGCCCAGTCTCGGGGACGTATTCTGTGTCCAAGAAAGTTTCAGAGCTGAGAACAGCCACACAAGAAGACATCTGAGCGAGTATACCCATCTTGAGGCTGAGCTCGCGTTCATCAGCTTTGACGATCTCATGGATCACATCGAAACAATCATCTGCGAAACGGTTGATCAGCTCTTGGCCAACCCCGTCTCAGCGGGCCTCGTCCAGCAACTCAACCCCGGATTCAAGGCTCCGGAACGACCGTTCAAGCGCATGTCGTACTTTGATGCTATCGCATGGCTTGTCGAACATGGAATCAAGCACGCAGCGGAAGATGCGGAGGGGAATATCATCCTCGATGAGTCAGGCCAGACAAAGATGGTAGACCATGTCGTTGGAGATGATATTGCGGAGGCTGCGGAGAGGCAGATGACGGACATCATTGGGACACCAGTATTTTTGCACTCGTTCCCGGCTGAGCTCAAGGCGTTCTACATGAAGAAGCTACCAGCCGAAGAGGGCGCGAAAACTGTATACACAGAAAGCTGTGATTTGCTGATGCCGAACGTCGGTGAGATCGTGGGTGGTTCGATGAGGATTTCTGATATGGAGGAGTTGCTGGCGGCATATAAGCGCGAAGGAATTGATCCAGCTCCATATTACTGGTTCACTGATCAGCGTAAGTATGGGACTTGCGAGCATGGTGGATATGGATTGGGGGTCGAGGTATGTTTAATCTATGGGATGCATTTGATACCTGTTTTGATGTCCTATTTCCAGCGGTTCCTTGCGTGGCTCGCGAACCGGTATACAGTGAGAGAGTGTTCCCTATATCCAAGGTTTGTCCTTTCTCGCGGTTTCCAGTATACAAGCTCATGGTGTGTTGTAGGTGGCCTGGACGTGCTACACCTTAGATTGCGTGTATGACACTGTAGATGCTGTTTTACTAGACCCTATAATAATGGTTTGACTTCTGCCTATCGATGATCGACAGCATAACAGATGAGCTGTGTAACTGGATTTCAAGATGTCGTCTCAGCCTCAGGTACAACTGAATTATGGGTCATTTTCTACTAGATGACTTACACCAACAGACCTAAAGTGATATTGACCTCTGTCTAGGAGACTAGCAATTAGTAAGCCGATAGCAGTGTATCCTGGAAGGAAATGTACTAGGACATGGATATCCGCTGAACTTGATGAGCCTTGAAACTCCATTTCCTTTGCGATTCAATCTCAAACGTTCTTTGTGATCACCTTGCCTGTCAAGGTATCACCACGTCTACTTACTCTCCTTACTCTTAACGCTGCAGGAAGAGCACGAAGCCATCACCATCCACTTCCACTTCTTATATTCTAGGTTCACCTCTTGGGGCCTGGGCTCAAGTTGCCCTTGGAGAAAGAACCTTTGGAGATTAGGAAGGAGCTGCAGTAGGGACGGAAAGATGCCAGTGCCGCTCTTTTTTCAAGTCCAAAAGAAGTCCAAAATGAGGGAACGAATCGATACTGCTATATACTTTGACGCAACAAGGACTTTTCGGAGTTCGAGGCGGGTCCACGAGAATCTCAGACCCGTGATTTGGCGAATTGAGGGAGCCCGACTCTTGCTTGGAAGAAGAAAGAGAAATCAAAGTGAAGATGGCTTAATATTTCTTCCAGCATAAGAGCCATAATCGAACACATAAAGGTGCGAGTTCAGACGGAATGATCCACTGGCCGCACTAGTGTGGATGCGGCGATTTGATTGATTTGATACAGACTCGGATGATTGGAAACCCAAAACTTGCGATCAGTGTCCAAATTTCTTGTTCGATTAGCGGGACGCAAGGCGAAATCCAAGTTGAACCTACACACCTGGACATCATGGCATCTGTCTCCAACCTGGTAGATGTAACAGTCTGTTCAGGAATCTTAGAACAAAGAATAGAAGAATTAATGACTGAATCTTAAAGCTTAATTCTTGAATCGTTGATCAGTAAACTGCCAGCGCTTGCTGATTTTGAATCTTACTAAGTACTTATTATCAGTTGAAGAGTATGACTACCCAAAAAGACCCCAGCGTGACTCGAACACGCGACCCCGAGATTATGCCATGCTTGAGGCATTCACACTGCAATCTCATGCTATAACCACTTAGCTATGGAGTCCCATTAATTTTATACGATGTCACATCCAGATTCATTCGTTACTCCTTCACTTTGATTACCATTTCCTGAACCGTCTCATTGATTCCTATCCGCCATCACCTTCAGTCATGGAAGGCTGGTCAAAACGATACGTTGACCCGCGCAAAGTCGCTAAATCATACAGACCCAAAGCCGGGGTACGTTTCCCTCTTTAAACTTGTATCTTCCCCAGTCCTCAAGGTTCGAACACAGGCCATGTCCCCCGGGCTCAAACGCGCCCGCGAACCCTTTCGTATACCCAACGCCCTGACTGGGTTTATCTTGGGTTCATTCGCCGTGGGGGTATACTCGTATTCAATATACGCTGTGAAACAAGACGAGTTCGAAGACCTTGACGATGAAGTCAAGTCGCGCGCGACATCACTGGCGAGGGTGAACGCTGGGCATCTGACGGAGGAAGAGGAGAAAGGGCTCATGGATGCGGCCATTACAAAAGTTGCTTCCGGGAAAAAGTAGAACAATGTGGCGCTTGGGTGCATGGCGGGAAATCATACAGTGTGTTTATAATCACGTTAATGCTCTCACTCTTGTCTTCAGTGATTTTCTGGTCCATGAATTATTCCAAATGTAGGGGTATCTCAAAATGCGGTACGTATATCTATGGATCGACACCTAACTTAGCCCCCAAACCCCCGCTTTCCGAACACCCTCAACCAAGGCATCGACATTCCCCAGCATCGTACCAAGAATTGCCTTCTTTTCCTCGGTCGTCCGAACCTTTTCTACAGCCCTCATCGTCTTGGAATTCGCGTCCAGAACAAAGGCGGATCCCAATCGGGATCTTGTACTTGATTGAGATGCACTTTTCCCGGGCTGAGGTCGCAGGAGGCTCGTGTTTGCAACAGAGCTCGCTGTGGACCTTTGCGGACTCTCGGGCACGAAATCGAGGTCCCGCTGCAACATGTGCAGAGACTTTGACTTGAACACTGGCGAAGGGGCCCTGGCCAGTGGCTTTGGCATAGGCAAAGGGTCCGCCGTCGTCTTGGTTGGAGACAACTGTACAGAGGACGCGGCAGTCGAGGCTGAGGCAACAGATGATGTTGATGAAAATGATTTGGCAGAGCTGGCCGACGTCGACCGCGACGTTTGACTAGAAGAGAAGGTGCTGGAACTCGCAGAGAGGGTTGTGCTTCCAGAGCTCGCTGTGAACCCAGATGGAGAGGTAGATACCGCGCTCCCAGAGCCAGACGAGAAGGAGTAAGTGGAGGAGCCGTAACGCGATAATAGACGTGTTGGCGTCATGTTGATATATGGTTTTTTCGGTCGCAAAGACGTCGTACCAACAGGTGTCGCCGGAGCAGTGGTAACGAGTGGTACTAATGTTGGATGCTCATCAGTCCCTGCAGGGGGACTCTCATCGAGCAGGTAGAAGTATAGGAATTCTAAGCATTTCATTCTAATGTTAAAATGTCAAGTACTTGCCGGCGACCATGCGAAGGATGACATACCTAACTTCACGAGGCGTCGCAGCACGTTTGAGGATTTTAACAATAGCTTGGACTCCATTGCACTCTTCAAACGAACGCAGAGCAGCAGAAGAGTCCACTAGTACGCAAAGGAGAGCATCCATGACAATAGAAGACAGTGGCGCCTGCGATTCTCGGGTTTTAGGAATAGAGCAGGACGGTTTGGGATCAGATGGACAAGGCGCATGGCGCGAAGTCAAGAGCAGATCAATGAGTATCTTTCAATGCCTGTCAGATTTAAATGCCATCAAACTCTCTAGTGGCGACACACCTCCACGGGGTACTTCCGACCAAGATACGTTTTGCTGGCGGGGTGCAGCATGATAATGCCTTGAATAAGGGACAAGGAAAGTGAGAGCTGGTTCAAGAGTTGTGATATTTGGACGCTATTGCTATCTGCTCTTGTCATCAGTAACGAGCTGGGTAAGACCATAGAAACGCTGAACCTTCAGGTGCTCCTCTATTTAAGAGAGTTTGTAGTTTGGCTGAAACTTCTGCTATCCATGGTATTAACCGGAGTGGTACTGTATACAGGTTAGCCGATAAGGATGCAGGCTAACGTGATACGCACTATTACACTCAAAAGTGTACTGTAAAGCCGCGAAAAAGTCGAGGATTTCTGATTCCTTCTGAACACAGATCGACAATTGACACTCTAGGCGCTGCAGGGCCGTCGTTTTACTCGGAGAAGCCGTGCGAGGGGACACAATCTATCAAACTCAAAAGTCAGCAAGCTATCATTGGAACAGAAAGAGAGCCCTTGCATCGTCCAGAGAGTCTTGTATAATAATTCGTATGTTTGTCAACTGATCATCCATATTTCATGAGGTCGAATGTGGAGGTTGGATGCGGATTTGATAAGTTGAAATTCGTCTATAGGAAAGCGCTGCCTTTGTAGACGTCTATTTGTTAACTTCTCTAATTCAGGGTTTCGCGTCTCCATCACGTGACAGATATAGGGTTATGGTCAGAAATCCGTATTTCCCTGGGTTTCAAAATTATAAATTCTGTCTCAACAGTACCGCAATGGCCAGCCTCGTCCGGAGCGTTTTGGCCAACCAGTCACGCTCGCTTCGAGGACTGGGCGTCAGGCCGTCGCTTGCCTTGTCAAGGACTGCTCTACGAGCTCCCAGGTTCGCTGGTTTTGCGACTGCGAGTGAAGACGGGGAAGCGGAGATCCCACAGCCGAACGATGGTCCAGTTCCCTTTGGTGGCGAGAAGGAAGGCCACACTGATTGGTCCAAGAGTTATTATGGTCTTTCGCAACAGGCTTTCCCTAAAGAAGCCGCTGATATACTACTTGCGCCCGTGGATCCTCTTGACATCGAATGCAAGCCAGGTGACTTGGTTTTGTTTTTTTTTTGTTGCGCGTCTCATTCTTATCACAACAGATGGCCTTATCTACCTTCCCGAAATCAAATACCGGCGTATTCTGAATAGGGCGTTCGGTCCTGGTGCATGGGGTTTGGCACCTCGTTCTGAAACTAATGTCAGCGCGAAAATTGTCAGCCGAGAATACGCTCTTGTGTGTCAGGGTCGGTGGGTGCATGTGTCTCCTTCTGGGGTTAAGCTTTTCTCAACATTTTCATCCAGACTTGTCGCCATTGCTAGAGGCGAGCAAGAGTATTTCGACGTCAATGGAGTCCCCACGGCTACCGAAGCGTGCAAAAGCAATGCTTTGATGCGCTGTTGCAAGGATCTGGGAATTGCCAGCGAACTCTGGTGCGCTTTTTACGGCTAGGTATACTCAAATCTAACACTGCTCAGGGATCCTCGATTCATTCGTGAATTCAAAGCCAAGTACTGTGTAGAAGTGTTTGCTGAGCATCTGCCTACAAAGAAAAAGTCAGTACTGCGCCCTTATTTCGTTGGCCATTTCTAAGCGATTCCATTATTTATAGGAAGAAATTGTGGCGGCGCAAGGATGCCCCGAAGCTAGCTTACCCTTACCAAGAGTAAACACATAGCCAGTTCTTTGTACCATCTTACAGGCATGCATTGCAATGCTATCTTGTCTCTTGCACCCTACTCCCATATGCATAATTTACGTACTTGCGTTCATATGAATAATAAGAACAAATTGCGGTAGATCATCTTGAGAGTTGCTTGCATCACGCTTTATCTTTATCCAGTGACCACAACCATCCTTCCGTTCTTATATTCTAACGATGTGGTCAGTGCCCTTCGTCCAGTACGCACCTGCTATCTTACACCTCCCGCCGTCAGCAAACACGTTCTAAACGCTCAAGTTTCCATACGAGCGCCCTGCTGCAAGAAATGGTTCGACTGTGCCGAGTGCCACGCCGAATCCGAGACGCATTCACTAGCTCGGACGACCGAGATGGCGTTCATATGCAAGAAATGCAAGAAGGCTTTCCGTAAGGACATGGCGAATTACGAGGAGAGTGACGAGTTCTGTCCGCATTGCGATAACCATTATGTACGTTTTCCATCTCATGGATCACGGACTGGCTGATGGATTGGATGTAGGTTATTGAGGCAAAGACGCCGCAAGCTGTCGTCGGTGTAGAGGGTGACGATGCTAGGATGGATGCCAGGTGCGCTTGCTTTGATATTTTGCTGGCGCTACTTCTGACTTTTGAAATCAGAATGCTCAAAGACGATCGGGTGAAGCAGACCAAGAAACGGACCATCTTTTCACGGGATGGCTTTGAAGATCGACTGGGATGAGCGTGGATAACGACTTTATTGTTGTTTGAGAGTTAATTCATTCTGGATTGTAGCTGCAGCCGTCACTATTCTGGCAAGGTTCTCCGATGTTCAAGCCCACTGCATGCCGTCAATACGCTCCGATATTTACTCTCGTCTCGTCATAAGAGGCACTTCCAACAATGCCTCAGAGTATCTTTCGTTGGCTGTCAGTTCTCTGAAGCTGACATACCTTCCTTTGTGCTCTGTCGACACTTTCGGCAGGGCGCGCTTACCAAGGTGGCTCGACCTTGTGTGTCGGACTCTTCGTCCTATGAGATGACAGACATAGCTTTTTTCTGCACTCGTCGATGACTGATAACGTCAAGAAATAATAAGAATGGTATATTTCCCGCCCCGGCATAATGAACCGGCTGCTTCTTAAATGTGCACTACGCACACCAGTTTATATCCACTGAAAATCGACTGAAACGCTCTTCATTCGTGTAAAAACAACATAGTCCATTTTCAGAGCAATATACAGGAATAAATAATATGATGAAGCGGAACGACAACGAGAAAAAGTCAATGGGAATCGTACAGCGGGCCGGGGAATCACAATGGTATGTAGTACATTTTACTCGCTCGCAACAAACTAACTTCCTGTCCAACGAGGTTGTATCAGCGGCTAATCTGGCGCGAAGGTAATGGAGGCGGTGAAGAACTAGAAATCCGTGAAGTGGCACTCCTAAAGGAGGAGCGGTAAGAGGGTGGTGGGGATCCAATGTGCATAAACTCCAGCTGCTCATCCAAGGACCTCACACGATTTTCCTGGGACAAAACCTC